GCGTAATGGGCTGGACCACCTTGCGCACGGCATGTCAGAGCTCAGAGTTGCCAGGATGTCTCAGGCGAGACGGGCCGGACCACCTCGCGCAGTGCATCTCAGAGCTCAGAAGTTCGAGGATGTCTCAGGCGAAACGGGCCGGACCACCTCTCGCGCGGCATCTCCGAGGTCAGAGTTTCGAGGATGTCTCAGGCGAAACGGGCCGGACCACCTCGCGCAGGGCATCTCAGAGCTCAGAGTTTCGAGGATGTCTCCGGCGAAACGGCCTGGACCACCTCTCGCATGGCACCTCGGGGCTCAGAGTTTCGAGGATGTCTCAAGCGAAAGGGCCCGGACCACCTCTCGCGCGGCGTCCCGGAGCGCAACTTTTCGAGGATGTCTCAGGCGAAACGGCCAATCCCAGCCAACTCAGAAACAAGAGTTGTGAGGATGTCTCAAGCGAAACGGCCCGGACCATCAAATTTTTGTGAGGATGTCTCTGCTCCGACTTCCCTCGGCCGGAGTTAGCTCCTATCACAACAGCACCCCGTTCAGCAAGCTGTTTGGGGAACAAGGTGCGAGCGTCGAGGGGCACACTTTGATGGAGAAAAAACAATATGCACCGGTGGGGGGGGATCAACAATAATTATTCTTCAGAAATGAGAATTCAACAACAACAGCAATAACAAAAAAAGGCAGCTTTAGACTGTTCGCTCCTATCTGCTCACGTGCCAATCAATACTCATATCCCAAACCCTTGGTATTTGCCCTCGTCGTCTTCGATCGTACCCCCTTGGAGGTATATCTTCCTTACCTGCCACGTGCATCCAGTGCAGTGCAGCCCTTGAAACAAGAGAAGAGAGGATGGGTGGAAGGGGGCGGAGAGGGGGAAGAATGGAGCACAAGAGAAATTCGCAGGAGGGGGGCTAGGAGCAGAAAACGTGTGGTAGAACCAGACGGACAGATCGGGTGGGCAGACCCATAGCGGGCAGGTCGGGAAGGCGGGCCCAAGCGACCAGGTCGAGCAGGCGGTTGCTGAAGCGTGAAAACTGCATGAATCGCGAAGAAGCCTCGAGCGATAGCGCGATTCCGGAGTAAATCGTGAGAAAAGCCATAGCGAGGGCGTGATTCCTGAGCGCCGAGGGCGCATCGTCTGAATAAATTGCGAGAAGTCCTACGCGAGAGCGCGATGTGTATTTGAATTGTGAGGAAGTCCCGCGCGAGAGCGAGATTTGGAAATACATTGTGAGAAAGTATCAGGCGGGAGCCGCTGTTGTTGAAAACAGGGGGCCAGGAACCCAAATTGAGCCCCGTGACTTTCCCTGATAAAAAACGGGTGCGAGCCCCGAAGGAAGCACTTCAATTTGAAAAGCACAAATGGTCACCGGAGGGGGAGGGAACAACAATAATTATTATTCAGTCGTGAGTTCAACAACAGCAACAACAACAACAACAACAACAACAACAACAACAACAACAAGAATCAGTGTAAGACTGGTCGTTCTTACCTGCTCGTGGGCCATGCTACCTGTATATCCCAAACCCTCGGTAACCGCCCTCTTCGTCTTCTATCGTACCCTTCTGGGGGTATATCTTCCTTACCTGCACCGTGTAGTTGGCGCAGCCCCGAAACAGGGTCAGAGAGGACGGATGGAAGGAGGAGGGAGAAGGATGGTGCACGGGATTAGCAGGAGGGGTGCTAGGAGCAGAAAGCACGTGGCAGAACCAGACGGGCCCATCGGGCGGCTGAAGCCTATCGGGCGGGTCGAAAGGCACGCCCAGGCGGCCATGTCGAGCAGGCGTGTTGATGAGGCGTGAAAACTGCATGAATCGCAAGAAGAGCTCGAGCGATAGCGCGGTTCCCAAGTACATCGTGACAGAGGCCAAAGCGAGACAGCTATTCCTGAATGTCGAGGGCGCGGCGTCTGAATGCATTGCGACGAAGTCCCACGCGAGAGCGCGATTCCTGCATAACGTGTGAGGAAGACGGGCGCGAGAGTACGATGTTGGAATAAATTGTGAGGAAGTATCAGGCGAGAGCCGTTGTTGTTGTAACTCAGCGGCCAGGGGCCCAGTTTGGTGGCCCCTCGCCTTCTCTTGTAAAAAAGGAGACAGCCCCGCGAGGAGCCCTTCAATTGAAATGATCCTGGCGAAAGACCCAACCATATGCAGTTGTGAATGCCGTGGTGGTGCGTAATCTCTTCGGTGGAGCTCCACATGGGGCCCGAACCGCTTGAGGGTTATGCCGAAACGGGTGCGGCGGTGCCATGCGGGCGCTACCACTGGGGCTGTAGGTGCAGCTCCGTATGGGGCACGAAACGTGAGGGGTGCGCCGACACTTGCGCGGTGGTGCCATGCGGGCGCTGCCACTGGGGCCTTCGGTGGAACTCCCTGTGGGGCCCGAAACGTGTGAGGGGTGTGCCGAAACGGGTGAGGTGGTGCCATGCGGGCACGCCAGTGGGGCCTTCGGTGGAGCTCCCTATGGGGCACGAAACGCGTGAGAGGTGTGCTGAAACGGGTGCGGTGGTGCCATACACGCGCTGCTACTGGGGCCTCAGGTGCAGCTCCCTATAGGGCCACGAAACGTGTGAGGGGTGGGCCGAAATGGGCGGGGTGGGTGCCATGTGGGCGCTTCCACTGGGGCCTTCGGTGGAGCTCCCAATGAGGCCCGAAATATGTGAAGGTGTGAGTGTGTGCCGAAACGGGTGCGGTGGTGGCATGCGGGCGCCGCCACTGTGGCCTTCGGTGGAGCTCCCTATGGGGCCCGAAATGTGTGAGGGGTGTGCCGAAACGGATGCGGTGGTGCCATGCGGGCGCTGCCACTGGGGCCTTGGGTGCAGCTGGGTATGGGGTCCCGAAACGTGTGAGGGGATGTACCGAAACGGGCGGGAGGCGGGAGGGGGAGGAGGGGGAGGAGGGGGAGGAGAGGAGGAGAAAAAGGAACGCAGAGCGGTCTCTTCAAAACGAGAACCCGACACTACAGGATGGTTGGTAGAAATACAATGTGACGCGGAAGGGGGGAATCATCAATAATCGTTATTTAGCAAAAGGAAAATTCAACAACAGTCATGTTTAAGACTGTTCGCTCCGATCTGCTCGGGAGCCACTCAACCCGTATATCCAATACCCTTGATACCCGCCCTCTTCGTCTTCGATCGTGCCCCCTCAGGGGTACGCAGATCTTTCTTACCTGCAACGTGCACTCAGCGCAGCCCCTCAAACGGGGGAAGAGAGGACGAATGGAAGAGGGAGGGAGAAGGATGGAGCACGAGAAAAATTAGCAAGAGGGTGCTAGGAGCAGAAAACACGTGGCAGAACCAGACGGGCAGATCGGACGAGTAGACCTTAACGGGCGGGACGGGAAGGCGGGCCCAGGCGGCCAGGTCGAGCAGTGGGTTGCGGAAGCGTGAAAACTGCATGAATCGCGAGGTCTCGAGCGATAGCGCGATTCCCAAGTAAATCGTGAGAAAGGCCAAAGCGAAAGCGTGACTCCCGAGTGTCGAGGGCGCGGCGTCTAAATGAATTGCGAGGAAGTCCCACGCGAGAGCGCGATTCTTGCAGAAATTGTGAGGAAGTCCCGCGCGAGAGCGCGGTGTTGGGATAAATTGTGAGGAAGTGTCCGGAGGGAGCATTTGTTGTTGTAGTTCAGGGGCCAAGAAACCCAGTTTGAGCAGGCAGATTTTTCTTGATACGAACAGGATGCGACC